GGTTGCATTATATGTGCTAGTATGTGGTTTAAAATTTTTCGTTTGATGTGTACTGGACATCTTACTAGGACAGTGCTGAAGATCTGTCTTATCCTTTCTGATAGCAAATGCTTTTAGACATTTTATCCAGCCAATCTGAGACATTTAAAAAAAATTTTTAACTTGGTTTTTGTATTCCATCAGGGAGGAAAAAACCTAAAAGGATTCCTGAATTTTTTCCTTGTGTTTGAAGCCTTGATAAATATTGACACACTTTGATGTTTAAGTATTAAAGTTCTTCATAAATTCATAGTTATCAGAGAATATGTATCTTGTTTATTGAAAAAATACCTTTGTTTCTACCACTTAAATTTTACTAATACATTTTACAAACATGCATTTTGTTTAAGCATGTTAGACATATCTTATTAGCTTTGTGCTGAATAGCCTTTCAGAACCACTGAGAGGGTTTTGATAACTTAGTATATAATGGTTTTATCAAAACGTTAATTATTAGACTAATGATTTAATAATTCATTACTTTATATTGTTAGACTACTAAGGTTTTTTCTTTTGTTTTCCACATTACATAGAAAAAATTGCCCCAAAACTTGTTTGGTTTACAAATAGAAATGATGTGAATATGTGATATGAGTAAACAAGTTTATGTTAGGAATCTTGAAAACTCAGTTCTCTAAAAAGAAGTTGTGATAGTTCTTTCTCCATCTTGACGATAGGCTCATACAAATGATTCTCATGTTTTTCCAGAAGCATTAGATATTTACTTATATTAGGTATTGCCAGAAAAGCTGTCATATGTGCTGAACTTGTCAGTTATTCCAAAAAGGAAAACTTACCATAACATTAAACCAAAGTTGGGCTTTCCAGAATCCTTCCAAATTCACATTTTAAAATTACTTTTTCTTTTTTTAAATAGGGGATTCAAGTTTGGACCAATGCTAAGGAATGCTTTAGCAAGATGTAATCCTGTAAAATGGATTTTTCTTCAGTTGAAGTGCCCCAAAACTGAAGCACAAGTAAATTTAAAAAATTTTATTTGCTACCCAGTATATACAAAAATATATAATAAGTTGATTAAATTCAACTTTCTTTAATTTGATTGTAGTTGTGTTGATACAGCACAAAAAGGATGTATTTTAATGAAGATTAAATAATATAATTTAAGGTTTTGGGGACTGGTGCTGATTCCAAAAAGTTAATTTGATAATATATACCATAGATTGTTTGTTAGACTTCTGAACCAATGACTGAATGTCCGGATGTTAGATATTTTCTGGATGTTTGTTTGAATGCCAGCTTCTTCAGATCTGTTTATGTAAGGAGTTTTTTTCCTAAGATGAAATTCCTATTTTACTTGGGAAGACCCACTAATCTGTTACAGGGGGTTATTTTTTTCTTGCCTTATAGTTGAGCTGTTTGGTTTGACAAAGCTCAGCAGAAACTTAGTGTGAAATCTAAGACTTCTCTCCTGCATTCATTGATGCCCCCTATAACATTTGCAAACACTAGAAAATGCCTTCAATTTGTGTTTTACCAGAGTTTTGATACTGGTGAGAAATTTTATACTGCCAACAAAGAAGACTCAACTTCTCAGATAAATACATTGTAATGATCTAGGAGTTGCTGTATAGAAAGTTTTGATTGAGTATGGTACATATAAGCATTAAGTTCTTCTCAAATAATTCGTAACTTCAGTGATTGAGCCTAAGTTTACTCTGTCAGCTCTCTATATATGGCGTTTCAGGGTACAAGTTGTAGCATTTCAATGTATGATATATATGTAATGAACATACCTGTTAGTATCTTGATTATTAATGTCTTTTCTATTGCTTGGCTGTAATTTTTGTAAAGATAAATTATATTGGTTTTTTTTGTGTGTTTTTTGTGGTATATGTTCAGAAGCAAAGCACCCTCATTTTGCTAGCTTTGCAGAATCTTCAATGTGTACTCATTATTACTAATTATGTAAAAAAAATCCACAGTACTGTTCAGCATTTGACTTTTTACATGTTTAAAACATTGTTGGATTTTTGTGCTGTTTGCCAAACTTGATACAATAAATAAATGAAGTATTGTGCTGATTTTCATTTGATTTTTGTTCTTTTAACAAACTCATCTATACGTGCCCTGTAAGAAAAATAATGCCTGACATGCTATGTTTTGAAGTGTTTAATTGTGTCAGTTTGTGTTGGATTTTTAAAAAATAAGATGAAAAGAGATAACATTTAAAAATTTTTACTGTTTTTTTTTAAAGATTGTGAGAAGCAGAAGTCATCTGTATAGATAAACATTTTATTCCATTAAGTCATATCATCTCAGAGTCATGAAATAAAATTGCATTCCATTTGGCATTTAAAAATCAAAAGCCTTCTCCCCCAAACTAACTAAATGTAAAGTGTATTAGATCTTTTTCTATGAGCTGATGTAATTTGAGAAGATCATTGTTATCTGTGTTTTAAAAGGTGAATTAGGAAAATATTTTATTCTCTAAAATACACAGCTATTCACTTGGTTGCATGTGTGTTTAACTAGAAATATCTTGATTTGGGTTGATGTTGAAAAAAATTCCATTGATAGCACAAATCATTGCTTTAAAAAAACCTCTTAAAGGAATTTTATGATGGAATAAAGTAATTTTTTGTACCATCCAGAATGAATATAAAGAAAATAATTGATATGTAATAACCCTTTTTAGTATTTAAACATCAGAACTCAAAATGAATTATTAAAAAAGGGTGGGTTAGATCTCTAAAGCTAAATATAAAAAGATAATATAAGCAATAACTAAAGAAACATGACTCATTACATTAATATATTTAGTAACAGGAAGATTTCATCTTGACAGTGTACTAATGATGCAATTGCTATAGTCAAAGCATTAAAATTAACTGAAGTCATACTTACCCTTCAGTTACATCCAAAATCTTTGAGGTGGATGAATGAGTCACTGGTAATTACAACATATCATCCAAAACAGGAACTGAGAGTTCTTAAAATTCAAGTGTCTTTAAAATAAACACAACACCCAGCTTGGAATGGAAGAAAAACCAAGAGTTATGTAACAGGAATGCTAGTCTTTTTATATCCATATAATCATTCTATGTTAGATTTCTACACATATTCCCCTTGGTAGAATTTATTGATTCTTCTAAAAAGTTTTCCCTAAAAAAGATTTAGGAATTTCTTTCAAGGGTGTGTAACCCAGAGAAATAAAGTAATAACCAGCCAAATCAGTAGAATTGTGCTTGCTTCTTGGGTTATACAACTTTAAATTTATATATTTGCAAGGAAGAAAGAAGCTAAGGGAAAAAATGAGCACATTAAATCCAAAGTAAGTAGAAGAAGGTAAATATTAAAAGTAAGAGCAAAAATCAGTGATATTGAAAACAGATTGAGTTAACAAAGCTAGAAATTAGTTATTTAAGAAGATTAATAAAGTTAAATCTCTAGCAAACCTGGACAGAAAAAGAAAAAGGACAAATTATCCTATCAGGGATGAAATGGGGTATGCTTTTATAGATCCTATAGACATTAAAAGGATAATAAGAAATAGTATGGACAACTTTAAGCCAACAAATTAGATGAAGTTAACAAATTTATTGAGAAATACAGTTAAACTGATATAAAATGAAATAGAAAACTTGGGTAGCCTCATATCAAAGAAACATATTATCAAAAATCTTCTATGAAAACTCCATATCCCACGGCTTCATTGGTAAGTTCTAGCAAATGCTTAAGGAAGAAAAAGTTTCCTACACAAACTTGCAGAAAATAGGGAAAAGGGAATACTTCCCAGTTTTGTTTTTTTATGAGAACAGTATTACCACAATACCAAAACTGGCCAGACATGTTTCAAAAAAAGAAAATGACACATATGACATCATAAAATATAGATGCAAAAATCATTAGCTAATTGAATTGAGCAATATGCAAAGAGCCTAATACATCATGACCAAGTAGAGTTTATCTCAGAATTACATGGTTGGTTTAACATTAAAAGTCAATTACTATAATCCACTATATTAGCAGAATAAAGGAAGTACCTCATTTCAGGAAATGCAGAAAAATTATTTGACAAGATTGAACACTGATTGATGATTTAATCTCAGTAAACTAAGAATAGAAAGAAACTTAAAGGATATCTGTGAAAACCAACAGGTAACATCATATTTAATGTTGGGAAAGTTAAGTCTACTTATCACTAGACAGCTGCCTACTAGACAATTACGTCCTCATTTCTCCCTCTCCTCCCACCAATACTGAGCTTCCTCCAGTTTTCAGCTCAATCTCTGTGCAGCTATCCTCCTCCCCTGTCATTGCTGAGCCTTTTACTCAGAATATTTTTTGAACCCTGAAGCACATGGATGTCCCATGCTTGAAGATCTAACGAAGTGTGTTCACCAGGTGGGTGTTCCAAGTCCAGAAGGTTTGGTTATCTGTTGATTTGGCAGATAGTTATAAAATCCATCCCCAGATGAAGCTGCAACTGGTTGATTCAGCAATAAAAGCCCAAATGAATAAAACATCCTCATCACATACCTGTGTGATCGAAGCGCCATTCAGCACAAGTTAAGGAGAAAAACCTAAATACTCGGTTGGCTAAAGCCTTGATTTCAGAGCATAGAGCTAACATGCATTGAATGCTTACTATAAAGCCAGAACTGAGGCCCAGCGCAGTGATGGGGCTTGTCCAGTGTCCCACAGTTGGTAGGCCATCTTTAATGTGCTTTTGAGTCACATGGGGATCTAGTTAAAACACAGATTCTGATTCAGTAGTTGGGGGGTAGAACCACTACACACCAAACTGCTCTGCCACTGGCAAGAAAAATCCCTAGCTCAGACAAGATGGCCTCATAGGAATTTTATCAAAATTGGTACATGTACTAGACAGTGGAATACACTGGAAATGAATGTGAACATGGGCAGTTAAAGTGACAAAAGCATACAGCTCGCCAAAGTGGCTCCCAAGGGAATTTTAACTGAAGAAATTCAGTAGATCAAGACAAATATCGGGAATGCAAATTTGGCAACAGCATACTGAAATGAAGGCACTGTCCACATCTGTCCCTCTCCACATAATAGATAATTGGATAAAATCATGGTTTCTAACAACCACAGTGGAGTTCAGTGCCTACACATGAGAAGTGCTACTCCTGTACATGCTGGCATGAAGAAAGGAGAAACTGTGGCAATAGCAAACTCAACACATGTCCGATAAAACATAAAAAGAATTGCTTCTAGTATTTATAAGCAACAGGTAAAAAGAAGAGTTTTAAGACAATAAGCACATAAAGGCAAAGGAAAGCCAAAATCTATTTCCCCTTCCTCACCAAGGGAAGTAGAGCCAAATCAAGGACTCCATAGCTTTATAAACAAATGATGAAGGACATGTCTTCAAGACTGAAATTCATTTCAGTCTTTAAAATTTTTGTTTTTAAATTTTTTTTTAATTTTTAAAAATTTTTAAAATTTTCTTTTTCAGTGCTTTTTAAAATTTATTTTATTTTGATAGCATTAATATACAGTTATTTGAATAACATTATGGTTACTAGACTTCCCCTATTATCAAGTCCCCCCCACATATCCCATTACAGTCGCTGTCCATCAGTGTAGTAAGATGCTATAGAACCATTGCTTGTCTTTGTATATACTTCCTTCCCCATGTTCCCACCCACCTACATTATGTGTGCTAATTGTAATGCCCCTTTTTCCCTCCCTTCCCACCCATCCTTGCCTGTCCCTTTCCCTTTGGTAACTGTTAGTCCATTCTTGGGTTCTGTGAGTCTGCTGCTGTTTTCTTCCTTCAGTTTTTTCTTTGTTGTTATACTCCACAGATAAGTGAAATCATTTGGTACTTGTCTTTCTCCACCTGGCTTATTTCACTGAGCATAATACCCTCTAGCTCCATCCATGTTCTTGCAAATGGTAGGGTTTGTTTTCTTCTTATAGCTGAATAATATCCCATTGTGTGTATGTACCACATCTTCTTTATCCATTGATCTACTGATGGACACTTAGGTTGTTTCCATTTCTTGGCTATTGTAAATAGTGCTGCAATAAACATAGGGGTGCATATGTCTTTTTCAAACTAGGCTGCTGCATTCTTAGGGTAAATTCCTAGGAGTGGAATTCCTGGGTCAAATGGTATTTCTATTTTGAGTTTTTTGAGGAACCTCCATACAGCTTTCCACAATGCTTGAACTAGTTTTCCCACCAGCAGTGTAGGAGGGTTCCCTTTTCTCCACATCCTCACCAACATTTGTTGTTGTTTGTGTTTGGATAGTGGCCATCCTAACTGGTATGAGGTGATATCTCATTGTGATTTTAATTTGCATTTCTCTGATGATTAGTGATGTGGAGCATCTTTTCATATGTCTATTGGCCATCTGAATTTCTTCTTTGGAGAAGTGTCCATATCCTGTGCCTTTTTTTTTATTGAATCATTTGCTGTTTGTTTGTTGAGGTGCGTGAGCTCTTTATATATTTTGGATGTCAACCCTTTATCGGATCTGTAATTTATGAATATATTCTCCCATACTGTCAGATGCCTTTTTTTCCTACTGAAGGTGTCCTTTGCTGTACAGAAGCTTTTCAGTTTGATATAGTCCCACTTGTTCATTTTTGCTTTTGTTTCCTTTGCCCGGGGAGATATGTTCATGAAGACATTGCTCATGTTTATGTCTAAGAGATTTTTGCCTATACTTTTTCCTAAGAGTTTTATGGTTTCATGACTTACATTCAGGTCTTTGATCCATTTTGAGTTTACTTTTGTGTACAGGGTTAGATAATTATCTAGTTTCATTCTCTTACATGTAGCTGTCCAGTTTTGCCAACACCAGCTGTTGAAAAGGCTGTCATTTCCCCATTGTGTATCCATGGCTCCTTTATCATATATTAATTGACCATATATGCTTGGGTTTATATCTGGACTCTATAGTCTGTTCCACTGGTCTGTGGGTCTGTTCTTGTGCCAGTGCCAAATTGTCTTGATTACCATGGCTTTGTAGTAGAGCTTGAAGTCAGGGAGCATAATTCCCCCTGCTTTATTTTTCCTTCTTAGGATTGCTTTGGCTATTCGGGGTCTTTT